ATTCAGGGTCAGTACGTGGAAGCTAGCCGATTCTTATTGCTGGATTGGGATCCTGCAGCTGATTCACCGACTTTCTGTTATAACCACCTGCCGATCCCAGGAGCCATCAGCCAGACTGCCAACGTTGGAGTCATTTGGCAAACCTTTGATTCATTCAGCTCTGGCATCTCCCAGCCTGTGGTCTTCTTGCTTCCAATTTGCCAGCTCCTATAGCTACAGGGGAAAGAAGACCTCAGTTTGTATCCGAGCCACACACTTGAACCAAAGTGGACCTACTCACTTCTACCACGGTGTGAGCCATCTCTTGACCTGTACAGATACATTCTACAGACATACAAGCATCCCTGGCTTTGCTTCTGTAAAGAGCTCAGCCCAGTACAGGGAGCCTGCAGGAGGGGGAAAACTAACTGCCAGCACCCAGCATCCTTTTTCTTCTCCCCAGGGCCCTCGATCACCTGGACCATGAGAAGGGAGTGTCAGATGAAGGGAACGTTAGAGTCTTGCTTGCGACACGAAGAAGCTTCTGCTGTAAAGGTGATGTCTACCAGGATTCAAGCCTGTAGGAGACATTGAGAACTTTGTCTAGCTAAGCTGGGCCTCTTGGGAAACCCCAGCGTCCCCCCCGGTCAGCAGGGTGGGCTGTGTGGGAGGTACTGGAGCCTGTGGCTTCTCTCAGCTCTGCTTACCCAGGAGAACGGCTCATCCTCGCTCCTCCGGGCCTATCACTCCTTCGTCACGAAATTAAGTGTTTGCCACTGTGACACCCCCACCCCCACCCCCGTTCAAAGGAGCGTGGAGACCATGGACTGTAGATTTCAACAGGACGCCGAGATGAAAGCCAGACACATCTGCTGGTTTCATGAGAAAGTGCTGAAGTTTTGTTATGTGTGTGGTTTGATTTATCGGACTGTGGGACTTCCAAGCTGCGTTTGAAAGACCCGAGCGACACCCTGACGTTCCGCCAGACCCGCGTGTTCTAGGGGAAGCCTGGGGAAGAGCCCCACGCAGACAGGGCCATTCCACTCTTGTCTCTTTAGCAAATGTGCTTCTTGGGCTTATCTACAAGCCCTCTGAAAGTGTTGCTGCTGCAACCGATTTGAAAACTACTGACCCGTTGCCTCCAATTCCCCGAGCATGCTGATCCCGATATGCCGTTTATGAATCTGCCTTTTGTTCTGGGAAGGTCTGGAGAACCTCGTTCGCTCGCTTCCCAACTGTACCATGAGTACCTCCTTTGTCCCAGGTATAGCCGTGCATCACAGAAAAGCAAAAGACCTAACACAATTCCTCCAGGAGACTGTCAGCACTGCCTCTGGTAGTGGAGGGGCCCTGGTGGCCTCGTGGTCACCTTGGGCTGCTGATTCATGGCAAGGTCAGCAGTTTGAAACCATCGGTCTCTTTGTCTCTCCCCTCTGCCCTGCCTCTCACTGATCACAAACAAGCGATAGACAGCTCTGATGGAGTCGTAAAGAAAACTTGTCACACTTCGAGGCTCAGGCAGAAAGTATTGCTCAGGTTCCATGCACAGGGTCCTCCCCGGCAAGATGTGCTTGAACGTGTCTGTAATCAGTGGATGGCGCCAAGCGCTCTCAGGAAGGTACTCGCCTTCCCCTCATTTGGGTGCCTTCTGAAACCAGTTCAATGGCTTCCCAAGGGGTCGTGCTGGACCTGTGCAACTCGAGAGGTTAGCTCAGAAGGCTACGGCGACTGTTTGCTGAGCCTCCCCAGTGGTCATCTGGACAGATGTCCTGGAAGGACATAGGACAACCATGGGAGCTTATTATGAAGATGTGGCAAGACAATGGAAAATGGCGCTGGGAAGTCCATGGTCAGGAAAGTTGTGCCAACGACCTTTTCCCATTCTAACGATGCACCTGCACTCATTCCTTCATGGTACGAGGTTCTCCTGTGAGGATTTTCTTGGGAAACCTTATCCTATCCACCGTGCCGCCCCAATTTTGCCCCCTTACACTACTTTTTGTCAAAAAAGTTCACAAGAACACAATCTGGGTCCCTCAAGGGTACCAGAACTGCTATTCTGACATGGTATCAATCTGAGAGCGTCGAATTATTTTATTTTATTTGCGCCAAATTCTTAGAGGAAGGGTGAGAGATGGAAACAGCACCTTCAGTGGCGCACAGGCCTCAAAACCCAAAGTCCTTGCTGTCGGTCCTGTGCATTCCCACTCAGAGCGCCCCTATAGGACAAAACAGACCTGTCCCTGCGGGTTTCCAAGGTGGTACATCTTGATGGGAGTAGAAAGCCTCATTTTTCCTCTTGTGGAGCATCTGGTGGGTTTGAACCACTGACCTCTCATTAACAGCTCTGTGCGTAGCCCACCCTGCCACCAGGCCTCCTGTACAGACCTGGATGAAGGCTACACCAGGAAACAATAACTTCATGCTTTGATCTTCTGGTTAATGAAACTGTCTATGGATTGTTTATCACGATACTTTTTGGCTTACTATCATGTCAGTAGCATGGTGCCCCC